AGTTCTACCCATGAGACCCTGAAGTCTGATTAAATCTCTTGAGAAAATGTCACGTCAATCTTGACAAGAAGGCTCCTTAGTCGTGCCAGATGGAGATAGAGATGGTCAATTTCCCTTAAAGCTGTGTTTTTTAGTGTTCTTTGTGTGCAATAGGGTGCATGCCCTCCCCACGTTTCCTTTTTAAATTATGAATATGTATTAGTACAAGGTGTGCAAACGCTGAAACAGTTTTTTCTTTGCCTCAGCGTGGGTGCAAAGGAAGGTTGGAGGTAATAGCACACACTGAGGTTCAAGGCAGAAGAGAATTCCCCTGAGGGTGGAGAGCAGGCTTCCTGAGGGGTGAAAATTGAAAGAGTGAGTTGTGTGAGATGAAAAAGACAAAACGGTGAAAGGTCCCAGGCGAGGGAGTAAATGTGAAACAGGGAATGAATGCTGTTACCGAGACGTGAGGAGATGTGGAGCCTGAAGACGACATTGAATAAGTTAAACAAAGAAAGGAAGGCGATGGATCCAACTGATATATTGACTCTTTATGTTCTCTTTTAGGGTCAATAGTCTGGCCAGTGTCTCTTTATTAAAATAAATTGGATGTCTTCTGAAGAGCAGCACTGACTCATTCTCCGCCTGCAGCATATTTAAACACACGTGCAGGTTATTAAAGGAAAGTTAAGTAAAAAAAAAAGACTCTCTCATTTTGGCTTGGAAAATTACATCGCAGGGATTAGATCTTCTCTGCTGATATGAAAGGCAGCATAATGAAGTATGGGACAACTCGTAACAAAGGCTCGTCTCAGCCTTGACAAGGCAATTAGAGGAAAGCAGCATCCCCCGTGCTCGACAACACCTAATTTCATCCAACTCAAGGTGAAGACGCACCCGAGTTCATGACATGAAATCATCGGAGAGGTTGATAACGTTATTACACACAGTCATTAAAGCTGGAGTGTGGGAGCTTGCATGTAAACAAGTCTGTGACTTCGAGTCATTGCCAGACAAGTTGGACAAAATGCTGTATGAGACTGTGAAAGGTAGATCTATGATTTAGTAGCATTAGCAGAAACATCCCATGCAAGCAAAGTGTTATGGATGCATTTCATATCAAGTCAAATTACCTTAAAGTCTTTCTCTGTGATTTTTCACACTTAAATGTAGAAATCAAGTATATCCTCTGAAAATAACTCTGTGAGTCATGACTGTCTACAATGGGTGTAACACCCGAGTCCCACTGTCTGTGATGTTTTCAGAGTTTTCAGAGTCCTATCTTCACTTTGTTTACATCGCCGGGACAGCCGGCTGACTCCTCCCCTCACGTATAAAAGTTGTTTAATTGAGGGACTAGAGAAAAGAAGAATAACATACTGTACTCACTGCTTAACTGTGTTTCTAGATCACGCTCATTTCAGGTAAATTTACATGCAGTGTGAAGATACCAGCAGAATAAAGATCGCTAGCATTAGCATGCTAACACAACAATGCAGCGCGAGTTGTTTTGGTTTCATGCTGGTGCTCAAGGGCGACATCTGCTGGATCAAAAAATTGCATATAAAGCCTTTAACATCTGGTGTACAAGACGCACTTGTAATTCTTATTTTTCCCTCTGCGTCCCATAAACTGGTGCCGTCAATATAGCGGTGTAAAATGCCGAAACATGCGCCATCATGACTGCAGCCTTCACCATCACTCCACTGCACACGACCTGACGTGATCGAAAGCTGGCCTCCATTCATTATGTGTGGCAAGCAAGCAGCCTTAAAAAATTAAGACAATGCGGAAGTGCAAAATCCTGCAGTTCGTCGAGTCGCCACTAGAGGCTGACTCCAAGAACACAGGATGTCACACACACAATGAACATGTTTACAGCCTGGTACAAAAAAACAAATATGTCTGATTAGTTATTGTCATCACTGGCACACACTGTACAGGGGTTGAACTTCTTTTAAACAGCTCTGTTTTGATTTTATGAATGATGCATGTTATCCATAGTTTGGCACATAGCTGACCTGATTGACAGGTGGGTGCGATGTAGCAGTTCGTCAAGAGGCTTAAACCCCGCCTCAGCTCCAGCTCTCAGTCTGTCGTTAGGTTGACTTAAAGTTAGGCTGAGACAGGATTTCCAGCATGGCGGCTGCTGCTGATGAGACTGTGGAGCCCCCTGCAGGGACAGATGGCTGACATCACTCGGGCTTTGTCCATTAATATTTACAGACGCTGGCATTGCCACTTTTGAACAGCATTTCTCCCCCATAACATCCTGCAGTCAAAGAAAACAGGGGTTTACTATTAAGTAAATAATCCCCACGCTCTCTCTCTCTCTTTCTCTCTCTCTCTCTCTCCCTCTCTCGCTCTCTCTGTCTCTCTCTCTCTCTCTCTCTCTCTCTCTCCCTCTCGCTCTCTTGCTTGCCCCCAATTTCCCACTCTATCCACTTTCCTGTCTCTTCAGGAAAAAGGCTTAAAAAAGAGCCTGTAAACCTTGTGATGGCCGAGTTTGATTGAAAAGAGA